GGGTCAAGCTTGGGGAGCGTGGGGGGTGGGGGGGGATACCATGGGGGGGGTCGGTGAGCCGAGAGCCGGGATCATATATATATATATATATCTATCTATCTATCTATCTACCTACATATATAGGGAACTTAACTAAAGAATATAGACATAAGGGACACCGGCAGGATTCCGAGTTTACTGACGAGTGGGGTGCGGGCTCCTCAGGTGAAATTGCCACTGTCGGGAGGTGTCATCAGCACTTGCACTCAGGGCGGTTTGCCGCCACTGGACCTTTCAGACCGAGCTGCTGCTGGGGGCGAGGAAGTCGAATGGGGGCGGGATTCGGGGGAGTATGTCGAGTTTGCCTTATGCCCAAAGCCACTTGGATTCTGAACACGATGCAGGGACTGCACATCCCTGAAAAAGTCGGGCAGCCTCTTTCGAATGATGCTAGGAGCTGTGGAATAACGTTCCTTTTGATCCGAAGATCCGGCGGTGGCAGCCCTAGGGTACTATGACATGTGGGGGTTTCCGAAAATAGGGGACCCTAATATGGTACCCTAAATAGTAGGATCCTGATTATAAGGACCCCAAAATAAGGTACCCTTTTTTTCGGAAACTCCCATGTTAGGACATACTGGAGTACCATGGTGTTCAGATGAAAGGTATCGCACCATGATGTACAAATTGCCGCCGCACAAGGCCTTCGAGGCAGGTTCAGCTATGCTTGAAGTGCTTCCAACGGTCGTTCCATGGCCTGCCACGACTAGGTCAAGTTGAGTGACAAAGACGATGCACCCTTCGAAGGCTTCAATTTCAGTTGTCCGCAGCACTCTCAAAAGCTTATGCCTGTCTTTGCGTGCGCACCTGCTTCGCATTGCAGCTTCTTGTAACTCGCAGAGGTCAAAGCCACGGATTTCTGACGCCGTACCTTTCAAGCCTCAAAGACCATATGACTTGAAGCTGCACCGCACGGACCCTGAAGCATGTCCAGATGATTGCGAGACGAATCTGGCGGTTGAATTTCGGCAGGATCCCCGGATTAACAAGAAGAACGACGAGGATTCGGTTTGTAGCCTTCTTAGCTCATATGGGGGCTTCCGAAAATAGGGACCCTAATCTAGTACCCTAAATAACAGGATCCTTATTATAATATACGGACCCCAAAATAAGGTACCCTAATTTTCGGAAACTCCCATTCCACCTGGCCTTGGATTCAGGTTAGATGTAGTGTTCACTATGTTCACTCTGAGGCATTGACCTGCACTGGGCCCATCCTCACACGGAGCTCAACCTATTGCCGGACTGTGGAGCATTCTTTCTTACACTTCTGGCAGCACCCTGCGATGACTGCATCTTCGCCGCCAGGACGACACCTATTTCCGGATATTCACGACTTACGTCAGGAGCTTACTGGCCTACTGCACTTCCCTTGGCAAGCTCTTCTGCTCCAAATCGTTCATGGGTTAAGGACGAAGAAGTGGCGACCTTACGAGCTCCTGGGGCGGTGCTCCCTGAGCCATTCCGCGTGGTCCCGAGGACGCCGTCTTGTTTTGCGAAGACACGGTCGGTGCACGGCCGAAGCCTTTGCAGCTTGCGATGCGCGATGCATGCTGTGTATGGTTGCTATGTTTGAAGCATGCAAGAGCCCAAGGAATCGTACATGTGGGGCAGGTATCTTAGATTGTATCTCGTGTCCAAACTGATTTGCAAAGTGCGGCTTCTCGGCCAAGTCTAAACCCTGCAATCTTCGATATGTGAGGTCCCCATGCGGACTGCCACCTCCCAGTCGCCTCGGCCCCAGAAAATCCGAAGCTTCGAAGCCGCATGTCACGACTCGTTCTTTTCCTCCTCGTTGCCACGATCACGATCACCGTTTCAGGTGTTGCCATTTACGTTGATGGTGGTGATGGTAATGATGGCGACTACGGTAGTGACGATCGTGGCTGATGATGACCATCATCATCATCATCATAATGTTTCTGCGTGGCTGGTTGCTGCAACCGCTTGCCGGACTGACCCCGATCAACTTTCAGCATACTCGGCAGGAGCCTCAGCTTCGCTACAATATGTGGCTTGTGGCCGAAGAGGCTAGGACGCACACGGCTTGTATATCTAGATCTAAGGGCTCTATATGGGATCTATTTTATGGGTATAACAAGTTCATGTTTAAGGATCCTACATGGGATCTATATGGGCTTGCTTTAGGCTTTCGGTTCTAAGGTACGAATACTTCAATTCTTTCAACCGGGGCTCAAATCAAGTTCTCTTGGCACGGGCTGTTCTGAGAAGCTGGCGTGCCATATCCTCCTACCGTGCGTCAGCATCGCCAAGACCAGCGACCAGCCTTTGCGTGCTCAGCCTCAAACTCTCGTGCGATGATGAAATTTTCGCCCCAAACCCTAAACGTCAATGGCTCTCTCAGTGACTCCGATCAGGACATTCTTAATTATTTAGACCTTGCCACGACTGCCTTCTCTTACGCGTCCTCAACATGCGAGCATCGGGAAGTCGGGAAGAGGGGTTCTCCACGCCACTGGAGCCTTTGATTGGTAACCATAAGTTTCCTCATAGAATGTAAGGACTCCCACTTCATGAGCTTGCTGAGAGGGGTGTTATATAAGGAGTTGCACTAGAAGGGGCACTATACACAGCTCTGCACTGCGGCCGACGGAGACTGAGATTAAGCTGACCACCGGTCTTCTCCATGCTACACTCCAAACAGGAGCATCAAAGTGGGCACTCAAACGACAGCTTTTCCCATGTTGGGAGGAGCTTAAGAAATTTGGCTGATGGCTGACGACATGACTCTTCGACTTTGCATGATGCAGGCGAGTCGTCTTCACGGTTGAGGCTTTCAGCTGCGACGGTGAGTCTGTGCCGATCTCCCGGTGTGGGCAGACTTGCGCAGAGCAGCCAACACATAGTTTGCATTCTTGAGTTTTGCTCGAGGTCCACGAACATGACGGCCGGAGTCTTAATTCTTGGAAGTCAGGGGGTCTCTCTCTGTTTGCTCGTGCACGTGTGAGGCCATGACGCCTCCTGGGGCACCAACCTTCACCGCAGCTTTGGTGACACATCCTGCAAGCCAAGCTCCCAGCCCTTTGATGACGCCATGTCGACGTGGAGACATGGGGGTTTCCGAAGATAGGGGACCCTAATATAGTACCCTAAATAGTAGGAGCCTTATTATCAGGACCCCAAAATAGGGTACCCCCTTCTTTTCGGAAACTCCCACATGGCCAGCTGATGCCACCCTCCCTAGCTTGTCAGGCCAGGCGAGTTCCGCCGGGTTTTGGCCGAAAGCCATAATCGCCAGGGCCATAGTCACTTCAGGATCGAAGGTGTCGTAGGTTACATGTTAATGTCGACCATGTCAAGTACAGGTCAGTATATATTCAGTAGACTGTGTATTGATATCTGTTGTCATTCATCCTCACATCTGACTATGCACTGCTCTATATTACAAAAGACAGTTACGCTGTTGGTATTATCTGCGTGTACATGAATGTCGTTGTGCGCTTGTATGTACTGTTTTCACGTTCACCATTTTCCACATTTATATATTCTACATATTCACATTTTATTGTACATGGTCACCAACTGTTGTATACCGTGTATTAACACATATGTACACACACAATATCCACATACACCTGTCGATCGCAGACCATTCGATACACGTTGTTATCCAACACTGTATACGCCATCATACTTCATCTTATAATACCATGTACTGTGATATCTTTATGCCTCTTATCATCTCTTTGTACAGAAATATGTATATGCATGTATATATAAGTATAGGTATCGACATATATATATATATATATATGCATGCATGCATGTATGCATGCATGCATGCATGTATGCATGTATGTATGCATGTATGCATGTGTGTGTGCATGCATGTATGTATACTATCATGTCTTGTTGCATCCGTCTATATGAAATAGCATATTCTAATCAGAAAGGACTGTTGCGTGGGATGGAAACTTTTGGTTTGTACCTGTTCGAGATGCTCTGTTCTATAGCTTCAGGGCTAGTTTGGGGACGAAACTGCTGGTTTGCACCTGTTCAATTTTTATACACCATTACACATTGTTATATACTCTTCCACATCATGCGTTGTTTTGCAGTGCTACAAATGATAAGAACTACTGCTCATGTGTTCTATCTATCATATAACAATTCTTTCCACTATATGGTTCGTTGTTTGATGCTTCGATTGCAACGCATATGCTTGCCAGGACTGGATCCCTCAGTATGATGAGCTGATAATAGGCCCCTGGGACCTGGGACGACTCTTCCCGCGGTACCAGTGATCCCGAACAGTGCCAGGTCATGCCATCTACCTGGCGCTGAAGGCCTCGTCTGTCAACATGCTGAGAAGTGACAGTGGTGACAAGAGCTGCCTTTCGCCAGGGCGTTGGCGCAATGAAACTGTTGTGCTGGATGCCTTTCCACAAAGCCGGAAAGGGGTCCGCTCCTTTCAACTTCCGACCTTGATGGACAGTAGCTGTAAAATCGAGAAGGACCGGCCTGCTAATCGATGCTGCGGCCACGGCCCAGGTACCTCGAGCTGCCTATAGCGCACAAGAATCACACTCATTCGCGGGATGCTCGGGCCTGAGACAGTTGGATTGCTGGTGCATCATTCAGCATGAACGTGGCATGGCATAGCAACGCACCGAATTTTGGCATTGGTCTGCATAGGCTGCCACGCTGCGTGATTACGACCAGAGGCCCGCCTAGCCTGCATTGGTGTGCACACAACTTCAATTCCTGGAATCCTGATGGGCGAGGTATCACGTTCATCAGGAGCAGCAGATCCTTGTTGCCACCAGATCAGCTGCCTCCTCAGAAGTCACAAACTCCTTTGAGTAAAAAGCTTCAGTTGTGTCATGACATGTCGCTGCTATGTAGTAGCTGGAAGCTCGTCGCATAGATAATAAGTCCCAAATCAGCGCACTCATGTGAACAATTGCAAATCAGCGTGTCGCTTGTATATATGTATAGCCTGTGGAGGCTTTTTGCAACACGTCTGTTGAAGGTACACGAAGTTAGTGACATCTTTGAAGATGCTTTGCGGAAACAGCTATGGCGATCTTTTTGGGTTTCATCAAGGTTTGGGGCTTAGATTGACCTGCTGCAGTATAGTAAGGATCTGAAGCTACACATCGTCCGGGCTTGATCCCGACCCAACCAAGACTTGCAAATCAGATAGCGTACTACTCTGCCTATGGTGGCGCAGTTGCTAATGCGTAATTGCTTGTTGGGTACAATGCCGTATGTTGCGTTCTTGTGCAGGAAAACGAATTCAGTTTACACTCGTTGACACAAGATCATCGCGTAAGAGCGTCCTTTGTCCCGGACCTTGTCAGACTGTGCTGCATATTCTAGGTCGCAAATCCATAGAGACAGGTCCCTGCACATTTACAAGTCGCTCATATTGTTCGTCTTGTTTTTCACCACATCCTGCTGCATATACAGATGCATACACACAAATTCAAAAACAAACACACACACACACACACACATACATATGCAGGCTTTTAGACCAACTCACTCGCTCGCCCGCCTGCCCACCCGTGCGAGCATGCATGCCTGCCTGCCTGCCTGCATGCATGCATTTGTACTGATACCCGTACTTGTATCGGAGAACCGCTGCCATTGCCACTGAAGCAACCACTGCGGCTGCCTGCCCCTGATCCCAGAACCCCAAAACCCAAAATAAACCCTCAATCCCCCAACACCCTAAATTCCCCAACGCCCTCAATCCCCCAGCACCCTAAATCCCCCAACACCCTAAATTCTCCCAACACCCTAAATCCCCCAACACCATACATAAATCACCCAACACCCTAAACCCACCTAAACCGAAACCACAAGCCCCATAGCGACGCCCGTTGATCTCGAGGTCGCCAACCTCACCAGGCCCGACACTGGCCACGATCCGGGGCCCGTGCGACTCCCAGGGGACTTCCAGGGGTCATTATTGGACGGTTTTCTAAGGTTTAGGGTTTAGGGTTTAGGGTTGACCCTAAACCCTAAACCCTAAACCCAGGGTTTTGTTGAGAGTCTTTAAAGGGGTCTTTGAAGGGGCCCTTCAGGGCAGTGGTTGGCTCTGGTTTCGGGTTAAAGGCAGTTTTAGGGTTTAGGGATCTAGGGGCTTTTAGGGTTCAGGGTTTAGGGGTTTTAGGATTTAGTTGGGCTCAAGGTTTAGAGAAAATCTCATGGGTGTCTCGCCCGCGCATCCGTGCTGGCTTTCGCGGCGTTTTGCGCTGAGGACGAGAATTTGGAGTCGCCGGTGTCAGAGTACAGGCCTTCCCTGAGCTGGCATGTCGTTCTCTACCTATAGTCTCCATTGTAGTTCCTTTTTTGGTTCAACCAATTATATATTAAGGGTCTTAGAAGGTATCCCCAAAAAGGAACTACAATGGAGACTACAGGTAAACCCCTTAATAAACCCTACTTGGAGGACCATTCGACTTAGTAAGTAAGGTTATAAGTCCCCAATATTGGGTTATAAGTATGGTTACCTTAGTTATAGCCCTACTTACTAAGTCCCATGATCCTTTAAGTATTCCCCGATACAAAGGGCTTGCCGATTGTTGTAGCCGTGCTATCGAATATTCTGGCAGTATGGGGAACTGGCTGATCATGGAAAGATATGTCAAGTGCCCGGCGCTCAGAAGAGCGAGATGGCGCGCCGTTTGTGTGAATGTGTCTTAAGCATCGCCAGCTTCCACTTTGAGGTCTTACCTCCTTCAGTGCTGTGAACCCCTCTTATGCCAACATCCAAGCGCTCGCAGTTGGAGCATTGCCCAAGGCAGGAAAGGGCATCCCGATCCTTTCTGAGTTTGCTCAGGTCTCCAAGCCGGTAGAGCTGTCGTGGACGGAGGACGATGTTCGCAATCTGCGTGACGAGCGACGCATGTGGCATGGGCAAATGCAAACATGGGCATGACTGACCTGCAAGCAGTGAAACACAGAACAGCATTTGGTTAGCTTCCGGCACTTCAAAACCTGCCGGGACGATAGGTTGGAGCTGTTGTGTTGGATCACTCTGACAGGAGCAGAGCATGATGCTGTATGACTGATGCGCTTATTCAGAAAAGGAGACTTTCTTGCTAGTCAAGCGGCCACTAAACTGCGGGGCCTTGCATATCACATCTTTAAATATTCGGTGCTGGCTCCATGGAGACATCTACTGCTTTCTTGTTTTCGGCTCCACAGCGGTCATGAAGGATGGAGGGCCTTTGGAGACAGCAGACATGTTCAATTTTGCGAGTCGGCTTGCCAAAGCTGGCGGCATGTCTTTCTTACCACAGCATGTCACATATTCCGGTGCATCAGGATGTGGCATGACACCGGGAAGTGTAGCACAACATGATAACACGAAGCTTTCCGGCAACTGCCGCGAGCAGCGGAACGACACCTCGTGAATGATGGAGTTGGGAGCCAGCGTCACTAGCCATGCTGACATCGCTGGTCAGGCCGGAGTCGTGCACGCGGCCCCCTACTACCCCCCTACTACCTCCCTACTACTTCGGAGAATCCTGTGCACCGCTGGATTCATCCCAGGCTTCTTCTGTGCGGCGGGCAACCACTCTGACCTCGGCAACGTCACATCCCATCGAGGCCGATTATGACCGAACCGGAGACTTCGGAGAGAGCTTTGATTGCCCTAAACGCTAAACCCTAAACC